ATTTTAATTTTTATGAAGATTTTATCATAGCCAATTAAATATTTAAAGAATACACTGTTAAGAACTGGCCAATCCTTCTCTATTAACAGGCAACAATATAGAGTACTATTTATTGTTCACTTGGCCATCTAATTTGGGCAATATGCTTGCTTCAAATTCGCAGGTACTCCCCTTAAATTTCATCAACTATTCAACAGAGCACAGATTTCTCTCCTTTTCCAGAAAGCCATGTCTCTGTCACAAGCCCATTCTCATTGCCAAATACTGTCAAGAAATATGAAGGATCTGGAATTTTCCCTATTTACAAGATGGTAAGTCAATTTGCCACAGTTTCACGCAAACTGACAAAAGACAGAAACTCTCAAATTAGAGATGTCTTTATTACTCACAGGGAAAACAGCATTCAAATTGCCAACATATTTATACAGTTTATATGAGCCCCAATTTCCCCAGGACCACATCAAGGGTCAGATGATACCTGCGCATATGGTAGGTTGTTTTTTGGGGCCAAAGACTCAGTACATTTTTGTTTGTTTGTTTTACAAGCAGCAAACAGTGTGGCAAACAGCAAACTGACCAGCTTCCTCCCCTTTTAGAGCAAATTTTATTACAGTCACTCTGTGGTCTCTATAACCTATTTAGTTGCCCATGTGACTAACTACATGACTTCTCAGAATCAGAAGAAACTTTGTAATGTGGTACATTCAGCAAATATAAGCATGGAAATCAAGGGATTTTTTGTGGTAAATTGTCTCTTCCAATACACACCAGAAAAATAATAAAACTAAACCAACAAAATTAGGACTAAATAGTAAATTTAGAGACCAAAGGTAAAAGAATCATCAACAGTTGGAAATTAAATTACAAAGCCAAAATAAAAACCCATCATCACTTCTTTTTTATTTTTTATTTTTGTCCTTCTCTTACCCTTTTTTGATGTTGGCAGAGTCTCGAATGTCTATAGTGATATCTGCTGGCAGGGAATAAACAGAGAGAGAGTAAAGAATATCCCAGTCTCTTTTTTATAATCTATGTATTCTGCTTGTTTCTGATATTAGTTATAAAAAAAGGTGTTACCTTTGGAAGAAGATTAAAATATCAATAGATAAATGAAATGACATTTTTAATTGCCATCTTAAGCAGTACTTATGGCATAAAAGGATGATACTTTTCTTGCTATTTGAGAATGAAAAGTAAAGTAACAGGACTTAACAACGTAAGTTTGGGTCTAGGTCTGTTTTAATGTGGCTAAAAATCTTCTAGTTACCACAAGTTATGTTAGTTATGTATTCCCACTTTTACATTTTTGTTACTGTGTATGTTTAATGATCTCTGAATAGCTAAGATAAATTTAATATTCTTAATCCATAAATCTATCAGATATGAAGGGAATGATCAAAATCACATACATTTGGGCTATACAACCCAAATCAGTCATTTGTTAACTTGAACCCATAACCATCTACAATTTTAGTACATAATGGGTCATTAGATTTTATACAGTTTAATTGTTTTGCAGGGTAAGATGAAGCTCAATAATGTAGTGATTTGCACAAGAGCATGCAATCAATTAATGGAGTGTTGGTCTAGAGACAAGAGTCATGACACCCAATGTAAATGTCTTGTCATTGTACCATGACTTATGTCAAGTATTTTGACCTAACTCATGTAACAACAGAAAACCAAAAATAGATAAACAAAACAAAAAAAATCAAGATAATTGTCAAAATAATTCTTGAAATAACATATGTTTGAATACTGCATATAAATTTTGTCTTTTTCTGGCAAGAATTTATAATTTCCCACTTCTATTGCTTCCTTTTCTTTGTGACAGCTGTCAGAGTAATGATATTTTGGAAAATTATAGTTAGGTTTAAATTTATTTCAAAGTCAGTTACCTATGCCCATTTTCAACAATACTCTGTGTCACCACACAACCATGGGGCAAAACAGCTTATAGAATCCCACTTTTGATCTACCAAAACTGTGAACCAAGACACTTCCTCGAAAGTATTAGCACACTCATGGGGGAGCTGCGTAATATTTTAAATTTTCAAGGAAAACACAGTGATACTAAACATCTGTCAGACACTGAGTCTACTGCTAGGTTGAGGTGATTCACAATCCCAAAGTTGCATTGTGCTACATTCCTTCTGATGACATCATACCTTGCTAAGATGTGTTTTTTCCATTGCATGATGAAAAGCAAGTAGCAAGTGGAAATCAATGTAGAAAAGGAAATGAGTGTGAGAGTGCATGATGTGACTTAAGGGCTTGGGGAGTCATGCAGTGCCAGACAGATGCCTGCATCTAATTTGAAAGGTATTGTGGTTATTTAAGAATGAACTGGCCGGGCGCGGTGGCTCAAGCCTGTAATCCCAGCACTTTGGGAGGCCGAGGCGGGTGAATCACGAGGTCAAGAGATCGAGACCATCCTGGTCAACATGGTGAAACCCTGTCTCTACTAAAAATACAAAAAATCAGCTGGGCATGGTGGCGCGTGCCTGTAATCCCAGCTACTCAGGAGGCTGAGGCAGGAGAATTGCCTGAACCCAGGAGGCAGAGGTTGCGGTGAGCCGAGATCGTGCCATTGCACTCCAGCCTGGGTAACAACAGCGAAACTCCGTCTCGAAAAAAAAAAAAATGAACTAAAAATATAATTTTGTTATTTGGATTATGTGTATTTTCCCCAAAAGCCTACTAAGCTGATAGAATGTAAATATTTATTAAGTTGTTTGGATTTAACTACTAAATAGATGGAACTCTTAGATATTTCTTTTGGCCAGAGTGTATGCAAAAAAAAGTTACTAAGACACTAAGAGTGTTGTGAATCCAAATGTCTGGGAATCTTCAAAGTTTTGTAAGTAAAAGGACTGTTTTAAATAATATTTTATTAGATCAAATTACATTCTCTTGACACATTTCTCCTTGGAAGATTTAAATGCACAAGCCCAGACTTTGAGGTTAATCTGTCTGATCTAAATGATATTGACATTTTAGAAACAGCAATGTGTATTTAGGCATCTCTGTAGTAATTAACTGTAAGGCTGGGGTTTCATTACTTTAACAAAGATGATAATGTGGGGAATATGAAATAAATTGATGTATAAAATGAATTGGGCTCTGTCCCATCTGAACGATATTGACATTTTAAAAACATCAATGTGTATTTAGGCATTTCTGTAATAATTACTGTAAGGCTAAGTTTTTCATTACTTTAACAAAGATGTAAATGTGAAGAATATAAATTGATGTATAAATGAATTGGGCTCATTTTAAGATATTGATATGTGCTCCAAATTTGAAATTGATCATATGAAATCTGAACCCTCTAATATGTAAGAACTAAAAGACAAAAAAGAAAAAAGAAAAGCAAAAAGAAACAGTGAAATGTAATGTAATTGAACTTGCTTCTTAAGAAAGAGAGGCCTTAACTAATTTTGTGACAACTCTTAAAACTTTACAACCTGATTCTGCCAAATTCCCCATTTATAGGTAGAGCATTTGACTTTGAGAAAGTAGACTTATGATTTAAATTTTAACACTTCAGGAGTTTTGTTTCATGTACTATATGTCACTCTGCTACCTGGAAGTGAATAAATCATTGCTTGAAGAAGGCAAACCAGCAGTGCAACTGAAATGAACTAACAGCAGTGGATAAAAATAGTAAAGATGACCAGCAAGAAAGACTCTTAGGTTCATTTTGTACATGGAAGGATTTTGGCATATTCTTATGTGAGTAATAAAATTAAGTAGGCGTTCATTTTTCTAAACACGTTGAAAACAAATTTTATTAATTAAAACATTTTCATGATCCTGATTACAAAACAACTGCTGAAATATTTGTAATTAAACATTTTTACACTGCAAATTTTTTAATAGCTATCCATAAATGTGGGATAAAGTGAGTGTAAAATCAATGCACATTTTATTCTCAAGCTAGTAGTCAAGGTTTGGCTAGAGATACAGAGATAATTAGTATTACGATTATTTTAATTATTTTTCTAGTTGCTTGACTCTACAGTATTCTTTTCAGTACGACTTTCTGGTAAATAGGTGTGGTCTTCATTATAGGGCAAAATGACCTTCAATGAGAACATAAGGGTGTATGTGAATACAAGTATTTTGTGAATGTGGCTGTTTCCCATTGTGGAATAATTCTGCAGATTATTCCTTTGGATGAAATGAGTATCAGACTGACACTGAAACATTTCATTATTAGTATAAAAATGAATGAAAAATTAGACTGATTACATAAAAATAGAAAAATTATCAAGTTTCTATAATCTTGTTGATAAAAGTATGGTTTTATCAAAGCATTGTAAAGCAGATGGTGTGTGGTATAAAGTGCATCTAAAGGTGTTCCAATCTTTTCTGACTAAGTAGCTTCCTTTTATGCCTTGATATTCCTCCTAATTTTTCTGCTCCCCCTTCTGAGAAATATTACTGGTAAAATCTTAGTGGAGAAAGTGTGGTCCTTGGAGTAAATTTAAGTCAGAATCCATGATGTGTAGCATTGGTAAAGATATTTCACTTGATAATATTGTGAACCTGACAAATATGGGTACAAAATTACTCTCTGAGGCTCTACATGTGGATTAATTCTGATAATGTGAATAGATGTTTGGAGTCTTCCCCTTGGTGATGAGTGAGTTCTCATCTGAGTTCATAGGAAATCTGTTTGTTTAAAAGTGTGTAGCACCTCCCTCCTTTCTCTCTTGCTATCATGCTCACCATGTAACATCCTGGTTCCCTGCTGCCTTCCAGCATGATTGCAAGCTTCCTGAGGCCTTGCCAGGAGCAGATGTTGGCACTATGCTTCCTGTAAAGCCTGCAGAAATATAACTCAATTAAACCTATTTTCTTTATAAGTTACCCAGTTTTGGTAATTTTTTATGGCAACACAAAAGCAAACTAACACAGAAAATTGGTAACAAGGAGTGAGGCATTACTATAAAGACACCTGAAAATGTGGAAGTGACTTTGGAGCTGAGTAATTTGCAAAGGTTGGACAAGTTTGAAGGGTTCAGAAGAAGACAGGAAGAAGGGGGAAAGTATGGAACTTCTTAGAGATCTGTTAAGTGGCTGTGTCCAAAATTATGATACAAATATTGACAATAACAACCAGCTGATGAGATCTCAGACGGAAATGAGGAATTCATTGGGAACTGAAGTAAAGCTCACCCATCACCCATGTTACATTCAAGAAAAGAACTCAACTGCATTGCGTTCATGTCCTAAGTACCCGTGGAATTTTGAACTTAAGAGTGATGACATGGCCGGGCACAGTGGCTCACAACTGTAATCCCAGCACTTTGAGAGGCTCAGGTGGGCGGATCATGAGGTCGGGAGTTCGACACCAGCCTGGGCAACACGGCGAAACCCCGTCTCTACTAAAATACAAAAAATTAGCCAGGCATGTTGGCAGACTCCTGTAATCCCAGCTACTAGGGAGGCTAAGGCAGGAGAATCGCTTGAACCTGGGAGGCGGAGGTTGCAGTGAGCTGAGATTGTGCCACTGCACTCCAGCCTGTGTGACAGAGAGAGGCTCCATCTCCAAAAAAAAAAAAAAAAAAAAAAAAAAAGATGACATAGGGTATCTAGCAGAAGAAATATTTAAGCAACAAAGCATTCAAGATATTGTGGCTTGGCTGCATCTAACTGCCTATGATTTGAGGTGGGAACAGAGATGATTTAAAGTTAGAACTTATAATTAAAATGGAAGCACAGAATAAAATTGGAAATATCTGCAGTCTATGCATGTAGCAGAGAAGAAAATAATTTTAGGAGGGAATACCAACAGGCTTTAGAGCAAGTAGTTACTTGCTAGAGAGATTAGCATGACTGAAAGAGAGGGAAGTGTTAGTAAGCAAACAATGGGGAAAAGCTCCAGTGATGTCTAGTAGGGCTGCTTCTCTACAGGGTGCAAACCATAAGCCTGGGTAGCTTACACATGGCATTAAGTCTGCAGGTGCACAGAATGCAAGAGTGAAGGAGGCTTGGCAGCTTCATTCTGTATTTTCAGAGGATGTATTTGAAGGCCTGGGTGCCTAGGCAGAAGCCTGCTGCAGCAGTGGAGCCCTCACAAATAACTTCTACTAGGGCAGTGTAGAAGGGAAAAATATGATTGGAGATCTCACAGAGTCTCCAACAGGGCATTGCCCAGTGGATCCATGGAAAGGGTGCCACTGCCTTTAACCCCAGAATTGTAGTGGACACCTTCCATCCTGAGGCTGGAAAAGCTGCAGGTACCCAACTCCAACTGAGAGCAGTCACAGATGCTATACCCAGCAAAGTCACAGGGACAGAACTGCCTAAAACTGTGTGAGCTTACCTCCTGTACCAGTGTGCCCTAGGTGTGGAACATGAAGTCAAGGAAGATTGCTTTGAAGCTTTAAGATTTAATGATTGCTCTGCTTGGTTTCAGATTTGTGTGAAGCCTAGTGCCCCTTTTGCATGATTTCTCCATTCTAGAATGGAAATGTATGCCCAATAACCTTACCACCATTATATCTTGGAAGTATGTAACTTCTTTTTCATCTCACAGGTTATAAGTGGAAGAAACTCAACACCAGATGAAATTGTGAACTTGGGACTTTTGAATTAATGTTGGAACAAGTTAAGACTTTTAGGAAACTATTGAGAAAGTATGATTGGTATTTACAATGTGAAAAGGACATGAAATTTTGGGGGAGAGGCAGTGGCATAATGATATGGTTTGGATGCTTATGTCCTGCAAATCTCATGTTGAAATGTAATCTTCAGTGTTGGAGTTGGAGCCTAATGGGAGATGTTTGGCTCATGGGGGCAGATTTCTTATGAATGACTTATCATCATCCTCTTGCTATTGAGTGAGTTCTGGCTCTGAGTACACACAAGATATGGTTGTTTAAATGGGTGGGGTGCCTCCCTTCTATTCTTTCCCCACTCTTATCCTATGAAGTGATAGCTCCCCATCACCTTCCACCAAACTTCCTGAGGTCCTCACCAGAAGCAAATGCCAGCACCATGCTTGTCATAAACCCTGCAGAACCATGAGCCAAAATAAATCTGTTTTCTTTACAAATTACCCAGTCTCAGTTATTTTTTTACAGCAATAAAAATGGAGTAATGCAGTTTCTCTTACTTCCAAAGCATTTATTTCCTATCTCTGTCAGCTTATTCAAGGTCTGTAACTAGCCTAAACCTCAATGTCTTCAATTAGTAAACTGAGGCTAATGATAGTACTTACCCATAAGATTGTTTTAACAATTAAATAACAATCAAGTAAAATATACCTTAAATTTCACGCCAGTTAGAATGGCAATCATTAAAAAATCTGGAGACAACAGATGCTGGAAAGGATGTGGAGAAATAGGAACAGTTTTACACTGTTGGTGGGAGTGTAAATTAGTTCAACCATTGTGGAGGACAGTGTGGCAATTCCTAAAGGACCTAGAAATAGAAATTCCATTTGACCCAACAATCCTATTACTGGGTATATATCCAAAGGATTATAAATCGTTCTACTATAAGGACACATGCACACAAATGTTCATTGCATCACAGTTTACAACAGCAAAGACCTGGAACCAACCCAAATGCCTATCAATGATATACTGGACAGGGAAAATGTGGCACATATACGCCATGGAATATTATGCAGCCATCAAAAACGATGAGTTCCTGTCCTTTGTAGGGTCATGAATGAACCTGGAAACCATGATTCTCAGCAAACTGACACAAGAACAGAAAATCAAACACCGCATGTTCTCACTCATAGGCAGGTGTTGAACAATGAGAACACATGGACACAAGGAGGGGAGCATCACACACTGGGGTCTGTCGAGGGAAATAGGGGAGGGACAGCAGGGGGTGGGGAGTTGGGGAGAGATAGCATGGGGAGAAATGCCAGATATAGGTGATGAGGAGGAGGGCAGCAAATCACACTGCCGTGAGTGTAACTATGCAGCAATCTTGCATGTTCTTCACATGTACCCCAAAACCTAAAATGCAATAAAAAATATACCTTAAAATTGCTGCCACAGGGTAATACATATTAGCAGCTTATGATTATATTACTACTTCTATTATTACTGCTAGTAGGGTAACACTCTTTTTCCAACAAGTTTCACCCACAGTAAACAGTGTACTGAGACCATCCTCTTCATGCTTGGCAGTATAGATTCACTCTAAAAATAATTATGGAGTGAATTCAAAAAGAAATTGAATTTGGCATTATGTAAGTATGGAAAAATTTCAAAAGAATGTTCATGAGATAAACTGAGTTTCACAAAAGACCTGTGGTTTGAATGTTTTCTCAGATTAGTTGGACATACCACCAAAGCTGCTCTCCTATGTAAAACTTGAAGATCTCAATGAGAACAAAGTAGGGAAAGGGAATTCTATGCATTTGCAAAAGCAGCCAGAATAATTTAGGATTGGTTCTGTACCCACTGGGAGATTTCATACACTCATCACTTTCTTTTGGTCTGATATATGGGCAGTTCCTTTTAATTCTCTTATTCTTGGCTCCCACAAATGATTGCTTTGCCAGAAATAAGGCTACAACTCAACAATGTCAGATGGGCTGTGCTCCATATGTGCTCAGAGAAGGTCTGAAGCCTATTTGTGATACACGTCATGTCTGAGGTGAGTTAGAGATTTCTCTCAAATTTCACAAAAGTTCATGTTGTTATTCAGCAATTGTTTGAAGTGGAAAAAAATTAATTTGCTTTTCATAATGTCACATGAAGGGACACAATGCAATATCTGTAAATGGAGTACATTGCATGAAGCAAATACAAACAAAATATGTAGTATGAAAGCCATTTTTAATTCAAAGAGCAGAATACATCCAAAACTCTGAAATTTCACATTTGAGAAACACAGGCCCTAAACCTGAAATGCTTATGCTTTGGTTATTGATTCTTTTTAATTAAAAACTTGTTAACAGAATTCATCTTATATGGATCAATAAATTAGCGAATGCTTTGCCAGAATTTTGCCCAGGATTCTTATGCATTGTAGGACTGGGAAATACCGTGTAAACTTTTTGATACTATTTTGACATCATATCAGACATATCATTGACATACCTGTATTCATATCAAAATCAATTTTATTCATTAGAAGTTATGATGTATTCTACTAACATTTGTCCTGAAATTTTAAGACTGAAGAGCATTTCTATAACTCACTTTTCTGAACTAGGATTTGAAATAAACCAGTTGTGATGCCTCTGGGCACTGGGGAGGTTTTCCTGATCTCACCCTCTCATGCTATAAAGATAAAAAGGGACTAAATCCAAGAAACAGAATTTTATATCTGAAATTCATAGAAGACATGTCAAAATAAACTGTTGACACACTTGTTTCAAAATCTTGAAATGTATATGAGATCACAAAAGAATGATTTAGAGATTTCTTAATGGTGGATTTCTTATGAGGATGGAAAGCATGCAATATGTATTGCTGAGTCTGCAAATGTCAATGTGATAATACATAATGATTTAAGATAAAACATTAAATGTGTGTTCCTTGAAGACAGAGGTCATCCCTTACTCATATACACACACATAGAGCATTACAAAATCCATGATCTATTGCAGATACTCAAAGCATATTTATTGAATGTAACTAAATTGTGTCACACCACTTTTTTGTAGGGTAAACAGAATACTAGATTAACAATCTAGCTCAGCAGCTCTTAAACTAGCATGCATAAGATTTCCCAAAAGAGCTTTTTAAAAGAGTTCTTTTTTCTCTCTCTCTTCCCACACACATGCAAATACGCATATATACACAGATATGTATGTATTTACTAGGTCTAAATTAATAGTACAGAATAAAAATTCAAATAATAAACAGAAAAGAAGGGGAAAAAAATAAACTCATGTTTAAAAAAAATCCTAGGCATTGAGAAGAAAACTAGGCCATGTCTTCTAGCAGTCAAAACAATGGAAATATCTTTATGTTCATTTTATTTTGAATTGAATAGATGACATTGGTAAAGATGAAAAAGAAACTACTGGTAAGCATCCATGTATCAAGTAATGAGACTCTTTTTTCCTAGGCATTTCGTCATCATTAAAATATTGTTATAAAATAATTCTGTATTCCTGTAACTAAGGAAATTCTCCTATTTTAATTCAATCTTAGAGATCTTCTGTCTTAACCCAAAACTAAAGCCAACCTCCTTGAATAACTTGAGCAAAACAAAGGGAAGACAAAGGGTTAATAGAACAAAATGGTGAAGCGTCACAACACAACACTGATTATCATTTGTAGTAACCTCCAACACACACATGATTTTGCATTTTTATATCTAGACTACATTTGTCATTTGGGTAAGATTATTTTGTAAAAACTAAAGCTTCCATAATTCATTTGGTTTACAAGTTATGAAAATTGACTACATAGAGCACACAATGAATTTGTTTTACAAACATTGCAGTAGAGTGTACCCTACAGGGTTTTACACTTTTTCTGAAGATTATTTGATTTGAGAAATCCTTGCACATGCTGAGGTTACCAAATAAAAAACGCCAGGTCAATCTACTGTCAGGTCCTTCAAACTGAGTCTTGGGATACATTTAGCAGTTAAAATGATTGCTAACAGAATGTGAGTAAAAGTTGACTTTTGGTTGAATGTTATATTGACATAATTATTAGCTCCAGACTCATTAAGTATCTCATTTATATGTATGGATTTTTATGTTATATTTGGTAGTGTTTAATCAGTTGAAAATGTTTTGTGGTACATTTTATATTAAGCAATTTCTTTTTTTTTTTAACTCTCTAGTTGTCAAGAAAATAGTATTCCCTATCTAAGTACTGATAGAATCTATATATTCTAGCTCACTGTGCTATGGGCATTCATGTCAGCTGCCTTACTTTCTCTTATAGCTGATGCAACCTGGAAATCAGTATCTCCCAGTAAAGCCAGTACAACTGTACTAAGGACAGATCCTAGATTGCACAGGCAAGTGAAACAAATGGAAAACCATGCCACTGCATGAAGAGACATTTTGGAGTGAGGTTCTTGCTGAATTCATTGGAAGAAAACAACGCCTTTTAAATTAAATTTATACTTAATCACTCTATGAAAACTGTATCTAAAGTTTAAAACTTGAATAATTGCAAATCACAGCATCTCTTTATATCTAATTAGTAATAAAATAAATATTATAAGGAAATGAACATTCCAAAGTAGAACAGAGGGTGTGTGAGCAATGTAAGATATGGAGGAAGAATAGGCAGAGAGAATAAAGCATACCACACACTCCTCAGCCAACAGATGCATTAAGATTTTACCAATTCTTAAGGAGAAAAGCCTGAATGAAACTTAATAGCAGGAAACAGCATATTGTATTTGTTATTGTATATACTATTACCTTACTTAACTATATACAAAAACTAATACTTTTTCTGATTTTGGGGTCCAAATTCTGGTAAATACATAAAACAATCCAGTTATTTTGCAAATTGATCTCTAGCCAATTGGACTGCAGCTCGCAATTGAAATAGAAAATTTCATTGTGGAAATTAAGATGAGGCAAACAGTATTCTTTGTGGTGGATTTAGCCTAGTTGATTTGTATTCTGTATTGAATAAGAGTAGAGAAAACCCTATACTGAAAGTCAGACAATCTATCTTTACCTCTTAATGCTGCATTCAACCAGCACTGGATCCCGCTTTGGGTCATCTAGGCTTGAACACATAAGCTAGGCAGCTAAGTTTTCTCATAGAAGTCTTAGATATTTCCTCTTCTCTAAGAGGCAAAATTGAACAAATTATGCAACTTTCAGGGCCTCAGTTTCCTCATATACAAAATCAGTATAATAATGGTACCTATTTAATATGGTTGATAAAAGAGTGTTTGAATTAATACATGCAAAAAGCTGCAAAAGCTTCCTGGCAATTAATATATGCACAAAATCATAGTAATGCAGAATAATAGGGTGGTCAAGAGCACAACACTACTAAAACTAGATTACTTGAACTCAAATTCAGTATTTTCCCCACAGACTAGTGGTGTGACCTGACTTTGAGCTCAGTTTTCATATGTGTAAAAAGGAGATAAAAATAGTACTACCTCACAGAGGAATTTTGTTGATTTGAGAATGTATGTGTAAAACACTTAGGGCAGCTTTGTAAAATTTAGTTCTTATATGTAATTGTCATAATGAAATATTTATGAAATTATGTATTGTAGTACCGAAAGTATTTTTTTCTTGCATTCCAGAAGTATAGCTTTAAAAACTTTATCATGTTTACTTATAAGAAAAATGGCTAAAAAGTAGAATTCAAGATCTTGGGTTAATATTCAAAAGACAGAAATTGATGTCTTCCGAGAAGTTTAACTTATCAGCAAAAGCATCTACAAGGCAAACTATTATTGGCATGTCATGATATAATAATACTGATAATTCTCTAAAAATGATAAAACTTGCTTATAGAAAGAATATGCAGTGATATGATATGATAGTGGAAACATCCTGGTTACTTAAAAATAAAAAGAATTCTACTTGCCATGGAAATATACCAAACACATTAAAATAAATGTGCTTGATGGCCCTGAGAATTTTTGTTTTATGTTTTTGCAACTATGTCATTTCATACATTATGAAGTTGAAATATGTAATTTCTCTAAAGGAAGGCAGTTATAATTACATGATCAGGCACTGTGAATAAAATTGACTAATTATTTGTAATCCCACAAAGTGAATTATTCTATTAGATGTATCCACATAATGCTCAGCTCAAGAAGGAGTCACATAATTTGTGTGGCCTGTTTTTGCATTTTCTCAATCTCCTCCTGTGCTTTAGAAGCCTGAGGCAACCAATTAAGTTTGGGATCTCAGGCATTGTTTGCTATGTCCCTTATTTATTTTTCCCTGTCCTTTTCCTGTTGTCACCAACCCATGTTTTATAACAGCCACTTCCCATTAACATTCTTACTCCATGACCTGTGATGAGTGCACCCTTAATATCCACTTAGCTCCTGATGGCCTGCTTCATATAGTAGCTTTATACATATTTTATACATTTTGTACATGCCTTTAAGTGATTTTTATATCTTCAAGAGAGAATCCATTCCACTGGTAAACTATAATAATGATGTCAAATGACAGTTTCCAGTGGAAGGAGAGCATATTTATGAGAATTTTTATTGAAAGCTTTTACTTTACAAAATATTAAAATTTCACATGTATAATGTATCATTCATATTCAAGCTAAATATTCATTATGTATTTATACATATTATACATTTGAGTATTTAGCTTGAATATGAATGATAATGTGTCCTATTCTCTGTAGTTGTCTTCATTATGCTGGATGTCTCTTACCATCTGTTCTCCATTTTGTGATGCTGATCCAGATGGTTCTTGCGTACACAAGACTGCAGGAATTTATAGATGGAGAAGAGTGCATGGTAGTTCTATTACAATAATCAGATTTTATGCTGGTTTCAAAGTGAGAAGAGTGTTTTCAAAGGCCAAAAGGAATCTCATCCTATAAAAAGACTAAATGGCTATTGAAAACTTTCTTTAGGCAGCTTAAGTACTTTTTTTTTTTTCCTGGAAATGATTTTGATTCAGAGCATAAAGAGTAAATTAATGATTTGGGGAAAGTTTTTCCTAACTCAACATGTCTGTGATAAACCAGTGGGTTTACTGACAGCAGAAAATTCCATGATGCAGGGTCTTGAAAATTAATCCTCACTACCATATATAGTGTTTGGTCTCTTGGATAGTAAATTATACCTTCTGGCTTTTTCTATACTTTTAGCTCTCATAAAATGCAAAATGGCCTACACCTGGCTTTTAAAAGCAGTAGTTAATCAAGCACTTGAAGTTAGTTAGCACTCAAAATAATTATGTTTACTTTATCCTAAGTTTGAATCTTA